ACTGGCACAACAAACCCAACCGAAATCCCAAACAATAACTGGGTCTCCGAGAGAAGGCCCGAAATGTGCTGTTCCCACGCCAAGGATTCCTCCGGAGGATAATTGTCTTGGAAGGAGAAATGGGCCCGAGATTCCCACGCTTCGCACAAGATCTCGGATCTCAGGTCCTACAGGACCTACCTGCTGCCACTGACTAACGTGTGAAATTTCGGATCCTTGCACCTGCCTGCCTTTCGAGCGATGCGATTGGCCGAGATGCTGTAGGATCTCTCCTGGCTGCAGAGAAGGTATAAATAGCGCCCGTGATCTTAGAAACAGCATCACACAGCATTCGAACGTCGAAGCGAGCACATCTCAGCACACATTCTCCGAGAACTCACCACCAAAATATCTACGAAAAACTATCTAATGTCCGCCATCAGCAAGCAGAAGAACCTCAACACCATGTACAAGTCGAAAGTGTCTCCGTCTCGTCGCCTGAAGAATCTGCTCAAGCCCCTTCTCGGACAATTCTTCAGCCTGAAGAAGGAGCAGCCCAAGAGGAGCTCCTACATCGCATCCGAGGAGAAGGAGGCCGAGTTCGAGTGGCTCAACAACGATATGGACAACATGGCCAACGAGCATCTGGAGCATCGTCTGATCGAGGAAATTCGCCAGTGCGCCAAAGAAGATGCCGTCATCGTTTATAATGAAAACGGATCCGGCGAGCTGCACACAATCGATCAGGAGGACTACTACGTTCCCGTCCATTTCGCACGCACCAATGGCGGCACTTTCTTCTGGACCTCGGTGCAACCGAAAGCCTGCGAACCCTACGCCATCGAATGGAACTTCCTGGATCGCTGGGCTCAAGCTTGAACCAATCGCCTGGAGCTTCAACTTCAACCTTGATCAACAATGGGGTTTTTCAACTTTCAATTGGGATAACTTCAACTGGCCTGGAGCTCGGCTCTCCAGCGGGATGGGTACTCCAGAGTTTGGGCACTTCGACTTTGGGTTCATCGGTCTTGGGCAGCGCTTTTCGGATTTTCTGGCTCACTGAAAATTCCCAAAAAAGCGGTTGGGGTCACCACAAAAATACGTGGCGGGAGGTATACCAACAATTATCCCTTTTTTTGCTGGTCAAAAAAAGGGTTCCAATTGTTTGGATTTTCAAAATAAAATTGTAAACAAAAACTAAAACAAACACTAAAACAAAAAACTTAAATAAACATTGAAAACGAATTTAAATTTCTTATTATTTACTATGGCATTTACAACTTGGGTAAACATGCGAAAAATCCTGTCTGCAGATCCTTTACAGATGTAGGACATTCCCACGATACTAAACATGTGTTGGGTTTCTGTCTATTTACTTAAAGATACGGCTGAGATTTCAGAAAATGTGTGGAAAGCGGTGAGGAAAACTACCATCAGCATAACATATGAGAGTTTAGATAATAGCTCAATGGTTTCTGTTTAGGGTTTTTTCGGAGATTTGTATGTATATTCAAATAAACTGATAGCTTCACAAAGCGGCACCAAGAGAAAGTCGTTTATCTTCCTACCCATTAACGTAGTTTGGTACAAAACAAAAACATCTCAAAAAGGGTATTTCATGGATAAGCAGGTAGCAAGACCAGAGTAATCAAACCTCGGTTACTAATCGCACAAATCGGTGGTTCCAAGTGTTGTTTCATTGACAATAATTAAATAATCACCAAATGTTATTCGGATTTTTTACAAAGAATTCAAATTTTATCAAAGCATTTATTGGCCTATAATTTCATTCGGTAACACTTACGTTTAACTTTAAAAATCATATATAATTTTTAATCGAAGACTTGAGTTGTTTAGTTTTGATAAGCAGGATTGGAAGGTTTTTTGGTAGATATTCAAAGATATGTTGAAGACGAAGTATATATACATTCTTTATTTCTTGATTACCTTTCCCGAAGTCTGTTTATTTTTATACCATCTGTAAAAAATATGATGCTGAAAATGTAAAATTAAAATGTAAATCAAGTATGTTTCTGTGAAGCCAACAAGGCTCAGAATCCATTGTATTTTTGGCAAAGTTTCAGAATAATTCATAAATTAAAAACACCCAAGAATTGTTTTTGTTAGCTTTCCCATGAAGAGCTGTTTTATTTCAACAAAGGAAAAACTAATGTTCTTACAAGCTACATTGCACTAAACGGTAATGGAAGACGTGACGCGACGCTGTTGCTTTCTTAAACATAACGCAGTCTACAGATTTTACAATAGTAAAATCTCGGGTTTAAAACATAACAAAGGCTTAACAATAAAATCTTAACTTTAGGGGTTTAACAATCACAGTTAACGTTCCAGGAACGTGAAACCAACAACAAATTAGTGAATAACAAATCAGTCAATAGAAAATCAACTAATATTGCACATGATATTGTGGGGGTGTTGACCTTGCGGGAGACGCAGTCGAAACGGAGTCTTCTGTTCGAGTTTTTGTGTCCTGCCAAGTCACCATTGCACTTTCCTCCAGCCCGGTCCTGTTGGGTCCTCCAAACGTTCCTCGATCACCGTGACCATGTCCTTGTCCTCCAATTTCGAGTGGGTGGACTGGTGGTTGGTAGTGGGAGTTGTGGGGGAGCCAAGCGGTCTTTAAAGCTTCTGTACCATCCAAGATTACGTAGGATTACGTAGGGGGTTGCGCTTGGAGCGCGTTTAAAGCTGCAACAATCCTCGCTCGCCGCCCTCTCCCATTTCTCCCTCGGGAGAGGCAAGTGGGTGGTTCTTCACGAGATGAGGAGATGTGATCGTTAACGGTTTACATTGAGCACTGACTCTCCGATCGGCGGATCGCCGGATTTTATACAACTCGCGAGGTCCGACGACGTTGACGCCGCTGCCGCGTAAATAGAGATAAACAAAGCGCACTGGCACTCACACCAGTTCAGTACCCTGCACACTTACACACACAGGTCCATTTGCCCGGCTCTCTTTGGTTGTGTCTGTGTGTGTTTGCCCTTCGTTATCAACCATTTATTGTGGGCCCTTTTCGGTTATCTACAGTCGACGGGCTACTACCCATTTTATGTTTATCACTTTTTACTTCTTACCCTCCCCTCGCACGATCTTCTGTTTACTTCAGGTCATTCGTTTCGTCTACACCGAGAGAAAATGTTTTAGTCATCTATTTCATAAACGGAATTCCTTGACGAAAAACTAGATTGTTCATAAGAAAAGGTATCCTGCATTCTTTCCTTAATTTCAAAACATATTAATATATTTTAGCTGTCAGTTACGTTTTCCTTAGTCTATAAATATAAAAATATTGCCTACTTTAAGGCGTTAAAGGCCTCAAATGAAAATTGCTCACAAAAACTAAGCACAATTTGTACATTAAAAATAAGTATTGTTTTTTAATTTACATAGTTAAACCGCAATAGTGCATTTCTTAATTCTCGTATCTTATGTTATAACGTTTCCAATTGTATACAGGCGAAAATGAAATCTTCGAACTTAAAAGAATAAAGATTATAGGGCTAAAACCTTGTTTTGGGGTTCCAGGTTTACCAAACTCGTCAAGACCCACAGTCTCTTCTTCTTAGTCATAATGGAGTATGTTATCAAAATGATATACTTTCTTTAACAGCCTTAAAACACAGCAGAAGTCAAATTTATTTAATTGATTAATTAGTTTCTATTGAGTTTATAGAAATTAAATTATTTTATAAAAATATGTATTGTGAACATATTGAATTAAAAGATATTTTTTGTATCTGTACTGTACGTTGAAAACTCTTTTGACTTTGCTTCCTTTGTGCTGTTGGTGTGATTTGTTTTCGTTTAATCTTCTTCCACACGCACGTTCGGCAGCATCTCTAGGGTTCGGCGCACCTCTCACTCCAGACCCTCCAGTCCCTTCCTTTGACTTTGACTCGTTTTTAACGATCTCGCGGACGCGGACCCCAAAAACAAGAATCGTCCCTCGCCAGTGGGGCTTATGTGCATTCCGCATATAAAACACAGGCACTCACATGTGGATGCAGATACAGATACACATAGCGCGTATATGCATGTAGATATACAAGAACACTTTACGCCCCTCTGGAAATGCAGTTTAATGACCGTTCATGACCAAGTCAATCAGATGCGGGACTATTTACGCATAGCAAAATCAGGGAATACGGTTCTACGTCGAGTATATGAAGTAACCATAGACACCCTGCAATGGGGGACCCTTCAAAGCGAATATGATCATCTTTAAAAAGAAACAAGGGTATTTTAATAACTATTATAATATATACAAAAAAGACAACTATCAACGTTACAGATTTATGCTGGTTAATTTGATATGCTTGTGAACATAATGCATTTTGTCATTAAGGGTTTAGATTAAAGTTGCCTTATAAAAGTTTCATATTTGTAAAAATTAATCAAGATGAAATAAAAATTATTTATCCTGTGATCAGATTAATAAATCAACTGTAGTTAAAATTATTCCAAAAATATAATGTTACTTAACAACTACTCACTTGTAAGAGATTGTTATCACTTTCATGAAAGAAAAATAAACATTTTGAATAAATATAAATATAAAGATACGAAAATAGTTAAAGTCTATAGACATCATCACATAAAGACAACCGAAAGAGTATCATATCTACACCATTTGGCATAAATCTTTTTCCTGTTAATGTTTACCCTGAATCTTATCAATAAAAACCCCTACAATTAAGCAGGTAGGAGGATTGCTAGAATTGCTTCCCCTAATCATTTCCTTTTTTCTGTGACTCCTTTTAAGAACCCTCCTTATAAAATCATGGGAACGTACGTTATGCGTGCGCTCCTCACGCGCAGGACACGTACGGAAGAAACCGTGGGAATGGAAACCGAAATGCACCTAAACAAAAATAAATGCACCGGACCCTAGAAGAGGGTAACAATAGACAGGTCCCTCCGCACCCGGGCCATTTCGAATTGAATTAGAAAAGGTTGCCCAGGTGGAGTTGGGGGTAGACCGTAATGGGTCCCAAAGAATGAAAGCAATCAGATGTAAATCAAGCAGCCAAGTTAGCAGTCAAGTCATGGTAAATAGCCAACCCCTGAAAAAAAATCAAGAGAATTGTGAAAAGAAATCATCCCCGAGATATTCTAAAAATATAACCGATGATGTTTAACAATTATAATTGTTTTCTATTTGAGTTTTACCAATACAATGCGTCATGGAAATCTCTTGGAGAGCAAAAAAAACGTTGTAACCACTGAGTTATTTTACTCGGAAAGTGATACAAATATTAAAAGTTTAGATAAATCTCACTAACATAGAATTAGGCACCATGAATTGATTTATCAATAGGAAATACATATAACAGTGGGTCATTAATATTTTCATTAGAATAAAAAAATATAAGTTTATATCTCAAAGGTAAAAAATACCTTACGTTTATGATAATTCGCGAAAGCTTCTTTATCCACCGCTTTTAGTAAATGTTTCACTTAATTTCTATGAATTGTTGTTGTACTAGCATTAACTTAGTTATTTCTAATGCAGGTTCGCTTAGGACTTCTGATCATTTACCTGGTTGTGGTGGCCGCCCAGAAAAAAAGCGATATTGCCTATCAAATATTTCGTGGCGATATCGAGAAGTATGAGCTTTGTGTAAAGTTAATAAGGGTTTGCCGCAACGTCTGGGACATAGCGCCCGATTATCCCGATGGAGACGAGGCAACTCCTGGGGAAAAACAGGTTAAAGATGACGAAAAAGCTGATTACAGAAAGGGAAACTGCGTACCGACGGGTCTCTCGACCTATGGAGAAAAACTGTTTTGGGAAATGGCCGCCAAATGGCAGAAATACATTGACGACAGGTTCCTAATCCAAAATCTTTTCCTGGTGATTAAGACGACCGAAAAAGGCCGGAATACCAAGGTGGCATTTGGGAAATGGCAAGGTTGGTGCAATAGAACCGATATTTCTGACGAAACGACCGAGCCAACAGATGAAGATGGATCAAACATATCGGATTTTAATGAGAGAGAGCATAGCGGAAAACACTGCGATGAAAAAAGTCCATTTGGCAAATGGATTTTTAGCGAAATCAAAGCAAGCCTGAGGTTAGGTCAAAATATGAAGAGATTTTCGGAGGTCTTAGCAGAACTTGAGAAGGATGCCAAGAATAAATGCTGTCCCTACGATTCGGTCAGAGATCGATTGGAAATCATACACGATGGCCTTGATTTTCTACGGGAACTGCAGGGCATAGAACCCACTGCCAAACCAGAGTACACTGATATAAGTTCAGATCTTTCCAGGCTCAAAAACAGATTCGCGAACTTAAACAGGGTAATGTACTTAAGAACCGGTGCCAATTATTCAACAGGGAAATGTTGCCCCAACATTTTGAGTAAGCTGAACGATGTAAAAAACAATTTTGAAGGTAATATTAAAGATTTAGAATCACAGAAACCAAGCTTTAACTACCAGCCATTGCTTGATACGGAGAAAAGCTTAGAAGAAATTATTTTCAGTCAACTGAAAGCTATTCGTCAGCTTGAAAGTTCTCTTGGAGATCAGCATAATAAGGATAATTGTTGTAAAGATGAAAAAGAACAGATTGACAACATAGAAACAATTTTACGAGACCTAAACCTCGAAAATGCCCTTAAAGATTTATCAAAACTAATAGATCCCTTAAAAGAAAGACTAGCTAATATCAATAAAACACTTTCAGTAACGGAAAATCAACTTACCTTGAAAAACAAAAATCTTCAGAAACTAAGTTCCTTATACGAAAAAGGATGCCTTCAAAAGGGCGCATTTATTAAGAATCTACATTCAAAAGTGGACAACTTGGAACACAAAATCAATAATATGAGTTCAATAAAATCCGTAAATTGGCCAAAACTTAAAAAATCTTTGGAGGCAATAAACGAAATGGTTAAACAAAATTCTTCGGTATTAACTAATATCACAATTGTTAAAACGACAATTAAAGAGACTCGTTTTGAAGGCAAGGCAGACTTTGATTTGGAACTCAAGAATTTAAGTTCAGTAAGATTTTGTTCAAATGATTCTATAAAATTAAAAGCGCGTTTGGAAAAAATTAATAAGGGTAAAAGTGATACCATAGCTTATTATGAGAAACAAGAAAACATGGTCAAAAAGCGTTTTAAGGAAATGCAAAATCACCAAAAAGATCTGGAACCTTATGACCCAAAACAAAACAAAGGTATATCTCAACCAAATGCTCTACAACTAGAGATCAACCAACTAGAAAGGGATATTGACAATTTAACAGAAAATGGCATAAACAAATTGGACAGGCAACTGCAATACACCCATTTGAAATTTGAAATTGAAAAGGAACAATTCGATAAAAAAGTTCAAGAACAACTAAAAAATATAAATCTTTTTAGAGAAGAGATGAAAAGGGAACAAGATCGGATTGATGATCGCCTTGCCAAATTAGCTGCAGGTATTGAAACTCCTGAGGAATATGACGAGAAACTAAGTAAACTGGAGGCAAGTGCCCTGGAGTTTCCAAAACAGATTCTGAGTTATGAAAAGGAACTTTTGGACCGCATCGATGCAATGGAACAGCAATTAAAGGACCTGGACAATGAGATGGAAAATACCGAGCACAGGGCAGACATATGCGACGCTGAATGTGACTTTGGTGCTCTGGATTCCGTGGACAAGCTGATTGGAAGGGTTCAGACTGTCAGGGAAAAACTAAGTGCACGGTCTACTTTTAAACGAACTCTAAAGGGAAAGGTTGTTAATAGATCTAAGGTAAAGAAAACGGGCTGATCTTATCTGAAACATTACGTTGATAAATAAAACGAAACCTAAATCCGACTGTGAAATTTTTTTTTATTATTTTTAAAATTATACCTCTGTTAAATGATTTTAAAAAAAATTTTATAATTAAAATAATCAAAAAGGAAAAACTCTAACGTCAAAATAAGCAAACTGTCATTGCAAACGTTCAAATTAAATATTTATTATTTCTAAAATTATGCCTCTGTTAAATGAGTTTTAAAAAAATTTTTAAATAATAATAATTAAAAAGGAAAAACTTTAATGTCAAAATAAACAAACTATCATTGCAAACGTTCAAATTTTTGATACGTTACGTAGCCTCTTACGTGACATAGCAAAGACACCCTCCTGTCAGCCGAGACACCCTCCTGCCAATTCAGCATGACGGTTTATGGAATATTTTTGGGCGCTATAATCTATCGATAACTCCTGGGTTCTATCTCTATTAGCACGTGTGACGCTATATTGTTGTTTTTAGCCAATTTTTCCGATTTTTGGACAAATAAAACACTTAAGATGCGGGACAACACGCCGCCTCACCGGCCGGACTTCGACGATGGCGAGGATGAACTGCAGGAGATAATTGAGTTGGAGGAGCAGCCACTCGACGAGGATGATGACGACTTGGAGGAGGTGACTTTGGAGCAGCTGGAGGCGCGACTTGCCATGGCCGGTGGCGACGATGACGACGACGACGAGGAGGATGAGGAGGAGCTCCGCGATCGGGAGAGGATAGCCAACATCAGGGACGAGGCGGAGATCACGTTTAAGAAGCACACGGCTCCCGTTTTTGCCTGCAGCCTGCATCCCTCCTACAATTGGGCTGTAACGGGCAGTGAGGACGACCACGCCTACGTTTGGGAGACCTCCACGGGGGACGTCCTTTACGAGATCACGGACCACAAGGACACCGTCACGGAAGCGCATTTCAGTCACGATGGTATCTATTTAGCCACCGGCGACCTGTCCGGCGAACTGTTCGCCTTCAAGGTCAGCGAACAGCGCGAGGAACGCCCGGTCCTGACCAAAATCTGGGAGTACTCGATGAGCGACATGTCCTGGCTCTTCTGGCACCGGGCTGCCCACATCCTTTTGGCGGGCAGTGATAGTGGAGAGGTCTTTGTGTGGCGCATACCCAGCGGAGATTGTAAGATCCTGCCAGGACAGTCGTCGCGTTGCGAGTCTGGAGAGCTCAGTGGTGATGGCAAGAAGCTGTTCACCGCCTACATGAACGGAACCGTAAAACTGTGGGATCTGAAGAGCTGCCAGGTGCTCATGGAGGTCAACGAACAGCATCCCATGGGATTCGGCGAGATCACGCACGCAGTGGTGGCCTGCGAGAGGGACTCACCGTTCTACATCTGTGCTGAAGGATCGGGTGAGAAATCCTTAAGAATAAGATTCGGTTAAACGTAAAGGGAAAAGTAATCCATCCATTTTCCCAACCATCTCCTAATAGCCCATTAACCGAATCTTTATATTTTCTTTAAAAACAAACCATATTATAACTCTCTTTCCTTTTAGGCAAAATGCTGTTTTGCACTAACAATGGACCCGTAAGCACGATTCAATCGGAACACGGCATTGAATGCCTAGCTTTTTCTCCTTCTTCGGCCGATCTCAAGCTCTTTGCCTGCGGCTCACTGGACGGCCGAATATCCATCTGGGACTATGCGAAATACTCGCTACGTACGATATGTGAAAACCCAGTGCCCAACGATGGTGTTATAAGGTAAATCCAACTAAATTAACTGAACTGCAATATTAAATTAGCAAAGGCTAGATTATAGTATTTATTTTTGGACAGTTAACTAATGCTGATCAATTATTCCAGGATCAAGTGGCTTAACGACAACACAATTTTGGCGGCCACTTCGCAGGGCAATCTGAATGCATTTGACGCTCGCACAGGATCGCTAAAATTCACGCTGACGGGACACTATTATCACATCTACGAGTTTGTCTATAAGGCGCAGGAAAATCTCCTGCTGACTGTTTCCGAGGACAACACGGCCAAGATATTCAAGGTGCCGGCGCTGGGCGATTAGTTAGAATTTAGTAATGTTGTACCGTGCTGTATATGTAAATAGTGAATACATATAAAAAATTACGTTTATTTGTTCATCTCGGCAGCCAGGAGCAATGAACCCATGGCACGGTCCTGTTTCACTTGTCCTATATATGTATACCAAAAATGGGAGAGGCATAAGCTGACTAAAGATAGAACAAACAAAGCAGAAAACAGACCTGGATAACTCAATAGCACCGCAGATGGAAGAACTTAGTGAAAAATTTCAAGCAAGATACAAATTTCCTTCGTATATTTTTATGTCTTGATAGTCTGTTAAAAATGTAATCTTAAAAAAATCAAATATTCAGTTTTGATTTAATATTCAAAAGTTGGAACACAACTTTGTTGTTGGTAATGATAGCTGAGAAACGTATAAACTAGAAGCGTATTTTGAAACAAGATCAAACTATAGTTTTATTTTTTCGACCCCATGTGTGTTTCAGAACTAAGTGCACTAAAAATGCAACTGCAGCGAACTCTCTTCAATCCCTAGCTCTCTTAGAAATTGTGGAACATGCGTACTGTGGGCATTTCCGAAGAGGCAAAACACTTGTTTATGTTTTTGTCTGTTGTCGTTCACCTCCGACATCCACACACACAATAACAAACAATTGTCTCTTAAAAACAAAAAAAAAATTTCGGATTTACATATTTATATATCATTGTGCTGTTTTATTTTATTAAAGCTTTTTTGGAAGAGCAACACGCTGATGGAAATCTCTGATTCAGTCTGTTTCGGGTTATCAGTGCGAATGGGTTACGGTTGCCCCCTCTCAAGGATATAAAGTTAAAACGTAATCCCCTAGGGATTTAAATGGCGTGAAAATATACCAAATAAATTGTAAATGCAAACAATGAATTAAACATATACTAACTAAAAAATTCGGTTTTCCGGATCTAAAAATAAAAATGTACAATATTCATACGCAAATTTAAGTACATTTACATTACACTATGAATGGTGATCATGAAAACTCATGACTCGTGTCATGATATGATGGAAGCGACACCGGAATATTAACGAAAATTGCATATGGAAGTGATCCATCATATTTTCCTTCTAAAACGAATACATTATGAGCGGCGCGGCAAAGTTAAAAAATGACAAGAAAGAAAGGGTTAAATCTGAGTTCGAAGATTGGAATACCCTAGCGGAAAGACAGTGATATCTGGGATACTATTAGTAAGAACTATAATATTAATTAAAAACAGAATATCCTAAAAGTTAATAGTGCTGGGGGTAAAAAGGATCCTTAAAATATTAATAAAAAAAAAAATAAATAACTTTAAAAAAAAGGCCTGATAAGAATTATACCAGAAACCCTACACATCTGTGGCAGTGGTTATCACTTAAGTAAAGTCAGAAATATAAATTTCTAAGTTAAACCCAAAATCAGTATACCCCTCAAAGTGGTATATAAGCTGATATCCCGCAGCTACGAGGCGACAATAAAAGTCACACGGAATCACAGTTAATCAACCGCGAACGGGGGCCCGAACTGATCCCCCGAAACCACTGTAATTGTGGCTATGGAGACACCACCACACCGGCAAACCACCAGCGCCCTGTGTGTGTCTTTTACAATTAGATTACCAGAGGAGCTCCACGGACCCAAAATGATCTGATCCCGCGAGCTGAGCTACTAAAAAATGTGTGGAGGCGCTACACTTGTTTTGTTTATTATTTGTAGTACTTTTTTATGGCGGGCAAGAGGGGGGGTTGGAGTCGGATGGGTAGCTAATCCATATAGTCAGTCGGGTACTAAAGGTTCACGTTTCACAATTGAATTATCACAGTTTGAAATGTCAAATGCACGCGCCTGGCGATGTCCCCCTGCCCCATGAAACAACATTTCATGATAATCCGCTCAAGTGTTTAACAAAAGTCGCTCGATCCGGCATGCTATACCCCCACATTAATGAGTATAAAAGCACATAAAAGACCGCCGAATCTATTGGAGTAATCTTTGTCAAATGAGCAACAAAAGAAGCCATATATTATATGGTGCCTCGTTACACCTCAATCATAAATCCGTAAATCTCTTTAAACGCGGTTGGCTCACAAATCCAAATACTTTAGACTGTGAAGCTAATTGACATTTGATTCACTGATATCATAGCAGTTTTATAAACCCTATTAAATTAAGTGAAGAACGACTGAGGTTTCTTATCAGCCACTTCCTCTTACTCGAAATTTGTATGTTACCGGAAATCGGAAAGGAATACAGTAGAGATTGCTGCTAAGAATTCGTATATGTAAGAAATTAATCTTATAATATAAAAAAAATATTATAAAATTTCCAAATTCTGAACTTAATAATATTATAATGGATTAAGTTATGAAATAAATGACTGTACTTTAGTAGGTATTCAAAAATTGCATTAAAAAATCACAGTCATTTTCAAAATTATATATTAGCGAGCAATTATATTTTTGTTGACTTCGTATACAGGGACTTTTAAAGATCACCTCGTAACATCACATTAATAGTTTGTGGCAAGTTTCACTTGTGCGCAGTAATTGTCCCACAAAGCCGTTAAATCAGCTGCAATTAAAGATCTCTACAAAACAGTGGGCTAATATCTTTTGGCACATGGCTCACCCAGTGTTTGAATAGACTGACAATAAAATGGCTAACAGATTAGGGCCAAAAGTGTCCCCGTTCCGTTGATAAGTACCCCAAAGGTCGTTGACTAAGACGGAAGAGAATTGAACTTAAGAGATAACGAGACTGCCGGGGAGTTTCTCTTAGGCGGCCACACGTGCTTTATTTTTGGCACTGAAACTTCTCAAACTTCTTGTATAGCGAAATGTTTGAGAGGTCTTGCATCATGCGTTTGCCAAATTGGCCGGCGGATGTTTCCGTGGAAAGTGTGAGCGCCTTTTACAGGTAACAGGTAAGATGTTTATGGCCCAAAAGAGCGCGAGAGAGCAGCTGCCACCTAAATAAAAAACAAGGCAAATGCAAAGCCCAAGTTGAACCGGCAGCGATGCCGGCAGAGCGACACACAGTGCTCATATAGGGGGGTAAAATTATATTCCAAACTTAGTTTGAACTCAGAGCGTGCGGCGAGCGGTACGGTTCGGTCCATCCGGTATTTCGTAGTTTTTTTCTTCGCCTTCCTTAAAAAACCTAAGGCCAGACGTTCGCTTTCTTGAATACCAGACCCAACCCATTCAATTCGAAAAGATGCCACTGCCGGGAACATAATAGAACCACGTGTGTTAAATACCTTATCGGTCTTGAATATACAGCCCCTGACAAATGTGTGCGTTTGTGTACTGAAGAGCACTGGAATAAGTGAAGCGCCGAACAAAACAGAACTGAAATCGAAAAACAACAGAAAAACCATGTGGACTGAAATGAACTGAACTGTATTTGAAGCTCCACGCTGGCACAAAGAGTGTGCTGATAAAAAAAACCGAGAAAAGTACAAGAAAACCCCGATAAAAGCAATGGACTTATGTACATAAAATCCAACCACAATAAATCGCTAAAGTTACCCTAAAAAATATATATCCTAAAGGGTTCTAAAAACAAACCATACCCACACAAAAAAAAACCTGATACGTTCTGAAAAATGGCGCGAGTACAGGCCAGCGACACCCTGATACCCCGCCAGGTGTTCGAGGTTCCTACGACGGAACCCAATAATTCCGCGGCGGACAGCGGGAGCCAGGGTTCCGGAGTGAAGCTGAAGAAACAGATCGGCCTGCTGGACGGAGTGGCCATCATCGTGGGCGTAATCGTAGGATCTGGAATCTTTGTGAGTCCCAAGGGAGTACTGAAGCACTCCGGTTCTATCGGACAGTCCCTCATCGTCTGGGTCCTCAGCGGTGTACTCAGCATGGTGGGAGCCCTGTGCTACGCGGAATTGGGTGAGTAATGATCCGTGGAACGGAATTTTTGTTTGTCGCCTCCTATTTTCGATAACAAGCCCACGCCCAGTCAAACAATGCTCTGCGACGCTGGCAGTTATTGCTTCCCGCTGATGACAGCACTTCATGGGTCAGCATATGGCATATCACTTGGGTGGGGGAGTTGTTTACATAGGTGTAAGACAAGCACCTGTGACAAGCTCAGCACAACCTAAAAACTGGAGCAAGGGCTCTTCTCGTCGAGAACGCTTGAGTCAGGGAAATCTGCTAAAGAGGTTAAGGCAAGAGATTGTCTGTAAATCTAGTACTAGTAAAACACAGAGAAAAATCAGCACATCATATTTAGCTACTTAAGTTTATTAAATGATATAAATATTTAAAAACAAGACTTTAAACTGCAAAATATAAGTGGGTTCATAAAAAGTTCAAGCGACATCTGGTACTTGGAAATTCTAAAAATAAGTACCGTTGTGAAAAAAAAAAACGTTTCGAGGAGAACAGGAATATTCAGCTTAGTTTCAATTAAAAACGGCCCAGATCCAAGAGACAAAAAAAAACGGAAAATTACTATGACCTTTGAGTTAGCGCTCCCGCTGTGAGAATCTTTTGAGATTAGCTACTCCAACCAATTACCATGGAGACAAATTAAAGGCATGGAAAATAGCGCGGTGCCATCAAGACGACCTCTTCAAGGGGCCCACGACAAAGCAGTTCCAGTTCCCCATGATGAATTAGCTTTGAAGGAGGGAGAGGGACTGTCCCTAAAATAAGCCAGACAAAACATTCAGTTATCAACGAATAAGAATTGTAATCTTTAAATTAAGTAATTATTTTGTTGGTTCAATTTATTATACCTATAAGACATTAACGATTTTGTCTGTCAAAACAAACAATAGTTTAAATTATATTTTTTACAAAGAGCAAGCCCTGTGTGCTTTTGCGTCATGGTTTCCTCAATTAAAAAGCGTCTGGGGCTTAATGAAATTTACAACCCCTTTTACTCACAAAGCACAAATTTACCAACCCAGGATCCGCAATATAATGAGAGCTTTGATTTTTACTCTTTTTCATACCTTTTACGAACCCCAACAGATCTACCACATTTAAGAGAACCAAGAACTCTGCTCGCCTTTTCTCTTTTTTACGTCATCTTTTTAACGTATTCTTAGTCATTGAAACACGTTTTTTTTAACAACAAACCTGACAGACACCTATTACCATAAATTGTTCGGCAGACACAAATTAACATAAAATTTTTGGAGTTTACTCAAGTCTGATAATAAAAATATAATAAGGTCTAATAATAACATGGTGTATTAATAGAAAATTTTCCATAATTTTAAAGCCCTATTCCAGACCCGTATAAACAAATTTACAGTTTATATGGTACATTTTATATTTATTCGTTATGGACAAATAAAGTTAATTCACTAACTCGTTGAAGCGATCACTAAGTTAAATAGCTAATATAACTGCCTCTCTAAAATTATCACTAGAACTGTGAAGAACCGAAATGTTAAATGTCAACAAAGGCTACTGATACCTTTCAAAATGATATTTACCTAATTGTTTGAACAATCATCGTTAGATAGACAAATACTTGTGTTTTTATGATGCCAAGCAAATTGACATTTTGATAATTAACAATTGCTACCGTTACTTTTTAAAATTATATTTACCTAGTTGTTTGAAGAACCCTTCTAGAAAGGCAAATAATTCTAAACATTAGAGGCAGTATGCCATGCTTATCAGATCTGTTTGTTAATGTTCACGTTGTTCCCATGAGAAAACCATCTTAAGAATATGAAGATAGTAGTTTATGATGACAAGCTTATTGACATTTGGATAATTAACAAATGCTTCTGTTACTTTTTAAAATGAGATTTACCTAATTGTTTGAACAACCCTCGTTAGATAGCAAATTATTCTAAGCATTAGGGGACTATGTCATGCTTATCAGTTCACCCTATAAGGCAAGACACTCTTAAAATATTACTCTCTTCGGATGCTCCCTGTACATACAAAGGTATGGTTGATAACACGGTCTTAAGAGTATTAAGATAATATTTTATGATGCCAAGCAAATTATTTTCTAGACTAACGATTCTTTGTTTTTTGCAGGCACGATGATACCCAAATCGGGAGGAGATTACGCATATATAGGTACTGCATTTGGCCCCCTGCCTGCGTTCCTTTATCTGTGGGTGGCCCTGCTGATTCTGGTGCCCACGGGTAATGCCATCACGGCATTAACCTTTGCCCAATACCTGCTGAAACCCTTCTGGCCGTCCTGCGAAGCGCCAATCGAAGCTGTTCAGCTGCTGGCAGCTGCCATGATATGTAAGATCCGCCGATAGTTAATCAGTTGGGAAGCTATGGTATTGACTAATTGCTTGATCTTTGACCATAGGTGTGCTGACGCTTATCAACTGCTATAATGTGAAGTGGGTTACACGTGTGACGGACATTTTTACGGGCACCAAGGTACTAGCCCTGCTGGTGATCGTCGGCGCCGGAGTCTGGTGGTTGGTCAGTGGAAACACAGAGCTTTGGGACAAACCCTTCTCTGGTGGCCATCAGAATCCCGGCTATATAGCCTTGGCCTTTTATAGCGGTCTCTTTTCATACTCCGGTTGGAACTACCTTAATTTTGTGACGGAGGAGCTGAAGGATCCCTACCGAAATCTTCCCAAAGCCATATGTATCTCCATGCCGGTGGTCACGATCATCTACATGATCACGAACATTGCATACTTTTCGGTGCTGTCTCCGGACGAGATTCTGTCGTCGGATGCAGTGGCGGTCACCTTCGGAGACAAGATGCTGGGCGTTTTGTCCTGGATTATGCCATTCGCAGTGGCCTGCTCTACTTTTGGATCATTGAATGGAGCGATCTTTGCCTCATCCCGACTCTTCTTCGTGGGAGCAAGAAATGGTCATCTGCCGGCAGCCATTTCGCTGATCAACGTTAATTGCCTGACGCCTGTGCCTTCGCTGATATTCCTGGTAAGCTATAGATATAACCTATAATAAGTAAAATTTAAAAACCTTCTAAAATGTTGTATGAGATCATGTTACTTATGAGATCATATAAAAGCTTTACTTCTACTAATCGAATGTCTCTTTTGTTAATTTTTCAGGGTCTGCTAACCTTGCTACTTCTCTTCATCAAGGACATTTATGTGCTGATCAATTACGTTAGCTATGTGGAGGCGTTGTTCACGCTGATCTCGGTATCCGGACTGCTGTGGATGCGTTATAAACAACCCAAGACGGAGCGACCCATCAAAGTCAATTTAGTGCTGCCCATCATCTACCTTATCGTCTGCCTGTTCCTTGTGATCTCCTCGTGCAAGCAGGAGCCCTTCGTTGTGGGATTGGGAACAATCATTATACTGTCTGGTATTCCAGTCTACTATCTGACAATTCACAATCCGGTCAAATGGCTGGCGGACACCTCGCAGGCCATCAATCTGTGGTGCTCCAAGTTCTTCATCTGTATGCCCAACCAGGAGAAGTTTGACTAGAAACGCAGGACTCTACGATTTAACGGAGGGAGTGCCTTTTGTCGATGTATCGATCAATCAACGCAACTATCGAAGGGAATATCTTGTAGTTAGCCTAAGTCTCAATTTACAATTAAGATAGGTTAGCAACGCGAAATTCGGAAACCTACGCACAACATTACGAAAGTGTTATTGTAAATAACTCAAATGCATTCTGGTAGGGAAATCCCTGCTCAATTTATTATTATGAATAATTTGCTAATTTTATTACTACTGTATATTTCATCCCAAAAATGAGTTCCTCGTCAAATGCAGAAAGTAAGGACAGATATATTAAACATGTCTATTATACAAAATGCGTACCAATTTTTACATATACAAGTAATTAGGAGCTTATTTAGTAAGTAACAATTATTATTGAAGCGAAATGTAAAAATCGAATTTGTTTTGTATAAGAAAGTTAATAATAAAACATCTAAATATAGCAAATTAAGAGAGTAGATCATTTCCCACGGATATTTCAGACAAACATTAATAGTAAGTACGAAGCACTAACCTCAATACACAAAAAAATACTTATAATTACATTTAAAGAGTAAAGAGCCTGCAAGCTGCGATTTTTTTTGATATTTGAATAAATTATATTGTAAAATAATCTGCAATTCGTACATATGATCATAACGATCTACCGATGAAATACCGTCTTGTAGGTATGCAATATATTTTATAACAGACAGGACGCTGGAATATACAGTACCTATCTTTTTAATTAATTAATCGTAGTAACGTCCATCTGATTTAAACTTGTTTCCCTGTCAAAATTAATGGCCCGGCGAAAGCTTTTCCAAAGCTTAACCCGAATGCCAGTTAAGTTTGTAGCGAGTGCGCAGAGTGATGAGGAACCCCGCGAGAGAGAGAGAGGGAGAAAGGAGATCCCGCCTCTCGCCGAAAGTCGTATAAAAACGTTGCGTGGGCGCAACTGTCATTTCAAAAGACCGTCGAACGGGATCGGTAGTTGGCCGCAGCGTTACGGATCGCACGCGTCTGTGAAAACTCGAGAAAATCCCGGTAAAGCCCCGCGAAATGACGAGCGTCCAGTAGAGTGCGAGCTCGAATAAAAGAATATAAATCATATACCACATTAGTGTTCAATTGATAAGATGGCCAAAAGGCAGGTGCTAGTTTTAACCCTATTGTGCCTGGGTTCCTTGTTGTTCGAAGCAGTGCAGACTTCCACGGAGTATAATCGCTATTTGGCTCAGATATTCCAAAAATACGGCAATGGCGGGACAATCAACTTTGAGGTAATAACCAATAAACCATCGAACTAGCCTTGTAAACACACACAAAAGTAATTTGAGCACAGGTAAACATAGTCTGACACGAGCAAAGCTTTTGCGGTTGATATTATGGCAAAAAATTAGTGAGTTTGTCATTTTTTATATTTTTGGGTCAGCAACAAAAACAAAGAGAGTTGGGGAAACGGGGTTTATATAGATTAGAGCTCATCCAATATTTGGGGATTGTGAAAGTGAAACAATTGTATACTGACAACTCCGTTCTGACAAAGTTGACATACAGGCAAACAAAACACTCTCGACGGTTATAAACGCTTATAAGCCCTTAAAAGATTGTAATCTTTATATACGCGGAGCAATTTTATAACACTGGGGGCACTTGCCTCGGTTGGAACGTATGATACAAAACGTAGACTTTATTGCTGGCATTATCATAAATTTAATCAAAATCCAGACAAACGAACAGCACACAGTGTGATATATATTCCAAGACTTGAGCATCAACACGAGTGTCGTGGAACCGCCCCCGACCCACCACATCCTCTATTATCCAAGTCAGAGATTAGAAGATTACCGCGATAAGACTGTTTCTCCTAATGAGGATGACAGGCCGGCACAGCTGACGAAATATGAATAGGCCCCCTCACCTATAACTTTCGCAACGCTATCGTTATGCTTATGGACTCCAAAGTTATGGACAGACAGTCAGTCCAAACAATCCAAGCCAATTGACATTACTCATGCGTATAGACTACGCAATACGCTTTGTCCATTTAAATGGCACGTTACAAAAATGTTTTTACTTTTTACGCACTCGGCATACTAACATCAAAGGTCCCACCCCCTGGCCACCCACCTTACATTCTATTATCATTCTAATATTCCAATTTCGATTACATAGTATACTTGGCACACAAGCAAATTTTCGTTGAATGAAAGTAAGATTGCCATTTGGTGGGTTCCTGAGCTCCATAACAAATAGTTTTTTTTTATGCAAGCGCGTGTTTGCCTAATGTGTTTGTTGATATGCAAATTCTGCAATCCTGATCTTGGTTAAAGAATTCTCTGGAGTCACTCATCATTAACCTGACACACGCCCCGGTCTACGGCGACAGGTGGCTGTCAAGGCAATTAGATGGAATTCCCCCTACCCCAGGTATCTCCTCCCACTTTTTCGACAGCAAAAATGCGACCGAGTTCAGGAATAACAATAAACAAATGAATTCTGATGTATGCAAATATCGTAGCCTGGCACGTTGACAAGTAAATCAAGTAATTATCTGTGATAGATAATACTTTGACAAATGATCGCCAAATTGCAAGTGCGAATTATGGACGGGAAAGTTTTAAAAAATTAATTTGTGTGAAATCGCATTTCTTATTAAGCTTCTAGGTCATACATTGAATCGAAAAACAGCTGCCAGTTGTTTATTTAACATATATGGGCTTAAAAAGTTCAAGGTTACATATAGTGCTGAAATATGAATAGTTGAGGAAAATATCGCAACTTTCTAAAACCTTTGTACAACACCTCGCATTCCCAAAGTTTGTAAATAACACATAGATAAGTTGAAGACCATAAATGCCAATTATCTTGAAAAAATTCTTAAATTGAATTATTTTCATGTGGTCGTAATCTTTTAGTGGATTTGATCGTTTTTGATCAAATAAAAAAGTTTTCCTTAATCAATAAAAAATCGTATCTTTCTTATCTTATCCTTATCTTTCTTTTTAGGTAAGTTTTATGCTTTGCATGTGCCAACTTTGGAATCTTTTTAGATTGATTTAAAATTAACCAATATAATCATTTATACCATGTTTTTATGTTATTATCTATTTAACAATTTTCCAGGGTCTTGAGCATTTGATGTTCAGCTTGAACTTGGGCCAAATCCAATTTGACCCCTCGCACACGATCGATCAGCATCGACCCCAAGGATACTCCCAGGAGGTAACAAACACCACAAGTGCCCCAAACTACTTCGAGCCGACACGAGTTAATACCACCAATGAGGAAGTTTTGGAGGTGCAAATCTCTACGCCGACCACTAATCTCTCAAAGCCAGAGATAGGCCCTGAGGTTCCGGAATTCCTGGAAATTCACGACCCCAAGCACCGGCACCCAAGGGAGAGCTCTGGTGAGTCTACAATAGTCCGTCAATATTTAATGTAGAAATGCCCCATGGCTATCTTTATGGTAAGGGATTTCGCACTTCACTTCTATCAGTAGTGTTTGCCGACCATCAACTATGACTGATAATACTTAAGATAGGGTAAGACAGACAACAAAGCAATAAACAGTAGGCTAGATTTTCTCACAGTTAGCCGGTGTCCAAAGAATCCAAACAAGATGAAAAATACATGGATTAAAGCTTACTTGACTGGCAATTATAAACGAATGCAATAAAGCACTACCTGTGACACAATAGAAATTGAGGCCGGGAGAATGTCGCATTATAATGGAAGTATAAATAGATGAAGCCGGGCCTCGACTCTTTCCATCAATTGGCCGATTTCCAAGTGCAAGGCGACCGGCGACTGCGGTCTATCATCAATTCAATTATGCCATCCCATCCTCCCATCTCATTTGGTTGATAGGAAGTTCCGTCTGCGATCGCGGCCTTGTCGCATAAATTATAAGATATATGTATAAATGGATTATCAGATGCGTATATCATTCTTCTATTGGGCTGTAAATGTAGCCGTAAATCAGCAGGTAGGAAGATCATTGTCAGCAGGTGACGAAAACAGGGCGATAACACGATAAACGAACGCATTATGGATGCGGAAATCCAAAACAAAACAACAATTGAAACAGATACAGATACAGAACGAGAAACAAACAGGCCTCAATCGGTTCGTTTGTTATTTTTGTTGGTTGGGCCTTACAGTTAATTGAAGTGCACACAATCGTTACAACGTTGTCCCATATAAAGTTAACACTAAACAGCCGACTGAATTTATGGCAAGTTCGCACATGCGAATTGGATAACAATCAACGGATGAGAAAGCAACCTGTTGGGATCGGAGAAATGTTATTGCTATTTTCATAGAAAAATAGCAACAAACTTTGAGAAGTAAACATGATTTCTGAAGGGAAGGGGAAATTCCCATACCTAACTTTATAAATAAAGCACTTACAAGTCTAAACACAGAACTAACAGGTGCTACCCAGAAAGTATAAGAACTTGTGTTTATTTAGTCGTGTATGTATTTATAAATATTTACGATTTTTCATGAGGCGGTACGTAGTTTTGCAAATTTCTCTACTCATTAAGCTTTTATTTAAAAAAGATCTATCTTTTTTGTAGACTTTTTAAATATAATAGCTTAATAAATAGTTGCATCTACTTTCAGAACCGGTTGCCGCTTGTTTATCTCCAAAGTCCTTGCTTTCTTTGCTCGTGGACCACAATGATCTCCATAAAAACATTGCCTACCAAAAATTATTAAAGAAGGATGGCTTCGGTTCAGACACCATTCACAACTCAGAGGAGGAGTATAACGAGTTCATCAACTCGGTGCGGATTACACCGCAGGCTTTTATGAAACTCTGCCCAGCTCTATTGGCTCAAATCGATAATGGAGTTTGCAAGCAACCAGCTCCTCGATCTGAGAATCTTAGCGACAAGAAGCAAAAGATTTGGAACGGTAAGTGCTTTAAAATATTTCCCTGTTAACAAAATATCTTACGCACTTTCTTTAAGCTTGGATCTATGCCAGCATCACCATGTTGATTCTCTCTGCTTGCGGTTTGCTGGGAATTCTTCTGGTTCCTCTGATGAAGACAGCTGCCTACCAAGAAATCCTCAAGTTCCTTGTGTCGGTTGCCGTGGGCACTTTAGCCGGTGATGCCTTGATGCATTTGCTGCCCCACGCTCTTTTTAAGGAAGAGAAGCATGAGGAGGCGGTGACTGGCATCAATCCCTTGGAATCCGATCACAAACATAGCAATGAAGCTGCTCTGCTTTGTGGTTGCTCCTTCCTGGCGGCTCTTTTCATGTACATGTTGGAGAATCTAATTCCCTTGCTAAAAGGAGGTAAGACAGGTCATGGACATAGCCACGGACATGGTCACAGTCACGGAAACAGCCATAGTCACATGGAGAAGCCAGCTCCACAGGACACTCTTGATCTCCCAGCTCCTCGAGAACTCAATGTAATGCTGCAGGAGGCCAAGTTAGATGAAAAGACTCCTGATCGTCCACTCACTCCTGTGGCTTTTATGGTAGTCATCGGTGATGGTCTGCATAATCTAACCGATGGCCTGGCCATTGGTGCAGCGTTTGCTAGTGATCCTGTCACTGGGTTTGCCACCGCTTTTGCAGTCCTCTGCCACGAGTTGCCCCACGAGCTAGGGGATTTCGCTCTCCTCCTCCAAACTGGTGTATCCATGCGAAGAGCCGTCTACATGAACATTGTAAGCTCAGTTCTTAGCTTTGTGGGCATGTCTGTGGGTCTTTTCATTGCCGGAATTGGTGATGGTATGACTCAATGGATTTATGCAGCCACTGCTGGTTCCTTCCTGTACATTGCCTTTGCCGATTTGGTGCCCACGATGAGTGTGGCCCACAATCCAGAGATGGCCAAAGATCCAAAGGGTATTATTATACAAATATTTGGTATCCTCCTCGGTGGACTGATAATGTTGGCTATTGCCCTGAACGAGCACGATTTGGAGGGTCTGTTCAAGAGCTTTTAAAATAGACCTCTGAATCTCAAACAGATATGTTGATTTCCCGTTCTTACTGTAGATAGTAGCCTAAGCCCGTTTCCTTCGAATCTCCGATTCTCTGCCTTTTTTTAGCATGCCTTAAATGTTAAATGTTGAAATCGTTACCAAATGTTTATGTCTGTGGTCAGCAAAATGTATGCATGACTGAAACAGAACTTTTCCTAGAATATAAAACTCTGAAATATGATAAGGGTGTTTAAAAAGCCAATAAAAATGCTGCTCAAAGAAGATGTATCCCAACACTAAAAGTTTAAAGTCTTCATAAATATTTCAAGCCGTGACCACAAGTGTTCTATAGAATAAATTCAGCTGTATTTCAACGCTAAATTTGCTATTTTAAAATACTAAGAGCTTTACAGAATTTCATTCCATAAGATAATATAAGAACCAACAATTGTACAAAATCCAAACTTTGTTAGTATACTTGTTAAAGACGGTTATATTTTTGTAACAAATGGGGACGCTCTTTAATGATTTACCTGTTAACACTTATCGTATAGCTTTAAATATTAAAGAACGTTTTAAGATAATTGCAGTTGTTGTTGTTCCTCGAAGGGTTCATTGGGCAGACGTGCTGGGCTCTAAAATATGAAAACACATGTTTTTTAAGTTTTCAAAGAAATTTGGAAAGGAATACTCACAAGTTTCTTAGACCGCTCCTCCAGTACACCGTATGCCACATGGTTCAGTTGGAAGCCAGAGGGCAGGGCAACACCTTGAATGCGATAGAAGGCGCCAGCTGGGCCTTCCTCTGCCACTTTGTGGGCAGCCGAGATAGTGCATTTGCCCAGGAAGCTGGTAGATCCCACCATTGGACCGCGTGAGATGTCAATGTGGTCACCCAGGCGATACAGGGTTACTCTTCCTTGGGTTTGCTGTGCAATGCTTGGCAGCTGCTCGCTCTTGTACTTGGAATCCTTGAACATCTCCTGGGCGAGATCCTGCTGAACGTCCAGGCGCTCAATGCGCAGATCCTGTGCGGCTAATTTAACCATCTCCGCCGAAATGGCGCGCATCTCCTCCTTCGAAGGCTGCCAATTCTGAGTCTGCAGCACAATGTCGTGCACAAAGCTGCCAGATTTGACTGTAAAAGAATTATGGAAATATATGTAAGCTAATTGAGCTTATTAGGCGTGTTAGATAATTTAACTTACTGTTGGGTCCCGGGAAGCTGTGTAGCTGAAGATTGGCCTCTGGTTTAAAAGCCCGGTTCAAGGCGGCTCCCAACATAAAACTACAAGTGCGCCAGAAGGCTCTGCAAGAAAGAAACTTTAATTAGAATAACTCATATGTTAAAAAAAAGCAGCACACCCACTTGTTGACCACGTGCGGCTCGGAGACATGGAAGTTGAGCAGCTGCAGGGTACAGGATTCCTGCAAGGGTCTGTGCATGTCCCAAGGCACACTGCCATCGATCAGGGCCAGTGCCGATCGCTTACAGTGTCCTTCACTCAGGTGCTGGGCACAATTGAAGGGCGTGGATATGTTGCTGTTCATCACGAGAGTGACATCTTCGGGAAGTCCCAGGTACCGGACCTCGATCTTATCAATGCGGCCCACGGCATCCCGTTGACGGCGCTGCTCCTGGTTAAAAAGATCGTTTCGCTTGGATATCGAAGCTGAACTGGGGCTGAAGCTGGCTGTAAAGGAAAGGTGAAAGGTTCTACTATATAATATGTACTATTTTTTAGTAGGATATTTAATACTCTGTTGGTTTTCGGAAAATAGCCAGATCGATATCCAAATCTAGCTACTTTTTAAGCCGAGACACCGCCAAGCATGCCATCTCTGGCGCTGGAGCTCCGCTGAACGTGAATGTCCACCGGCATTATGTAAACCGTTTCTTCGATCTTTGGTCAATAAAAGGGCTCTTAATTAGTCTTACTTACCCTTAGTTCTGTATTGTTGCAGCTGCCGCAGGGCGCACCAGCTCGTTTTATGTAATTTTGTGGCCGCAGACATGGTAATTTACCAAAATACTTTCCAGGGATGCGAAGCACAAAGACTATACCAGGGCTGCTAAAATTATATTAAGCAATCGATTTCTTGATAAAAATATTAGGGGCTTTCCGAAACACCTGTCGCGTATACCTAATTATTAGTACAGAGTCATATTTAATGACAATTACATTTTTATTTATATGGTATTTAGGTTTAATACTTAGATGAACAGCATCACTTTAAAATAAAATATAATATAAAAAATTAAGTGAAATACTTTTTCACTCGATACTATCGCGCCATCGATTGAGCCGGTTAATACTTACCAATCGATACTATCGATGTTAGTCTCAGCTCTATCACGCCTTTAACAATTTTGTTTGTCATTCCGCTCGGCAGAAATTAAACATAGTTTCTTCCTGTGAATATAGTTGAAATAAAGAGGAAAGACAATGGATTTGGATAACGCACGCGATCTGCCACGCCCAGGCTTCAACTTCGATAACTGCAAACGGTAAGACTACACGGGTTCCGCAGAAATCATTCAGCGGCTTTTGCTAACTACTCATATTTTTGCTTTTAGCAATGCGACTCTTTTGAAGGGGGGCTTCAAGCCACCGACGACCACCAAAACCGGCACCACCATCGTCGGCATCATCTTCAAGGATGGCGTTATCCTAGGAGCCGATACGCGAGCCACCGAGGGCCCCATCGTCTCAGACAAGAACTGCGCCAAGATCCATTACCTGGCCAAGAACATATAGTGAGTTCGAAGATGACATGTATAAAATGTTTATGTCTGTAGCGGCTAGTGATCTAATTCCACTAACCGATATACCCTTTATTACTGTTTCGCATTGGTTTTCCTATGATAGGAATAAGTAAAACACGTCTTAGAGGCTTGTAAACCTAGATGAGACAGTACTTTCTTCTTAACGATCTGTCCTAATATTTCCTGTATACTTATAAAAAATGTTTCTACTTCAGTTGCTGTGGAGCTGGAACTGCTGCGGACACCGAGATGACCACGGATCTAATCTCTTCCCAGCTGGAGCTACATCGCCTGCAAACTGAGCGCGAGGTGCGCGTGGTGGCCGCCAATGTGATGTTGAAGCAGATGCTCTTCCGCTACCAGGGTCACATCAGTGCCGCCCTAGTGCTCGGTGGAGTCGATAAGACCGGACCCCACATCTACTCCATTCACCCACATGGCAGCTCGGATAAACTGCCGTATGCCACCATGGGATCGGGTTCCCTGGCCGCCATGACCGTGTTCGAGAGTCGCTGGAAACCCGACATGACCGAGGAGGAGGGCAAGAAACTGGTGCGCGATGCCATCGCCTCCGGAGTGTTTAACGATTTGGGTTCGGGGTCCAACGTCGATCTGTGTGTGATCCGAAAGGGCAGCGTGGATTATCTGCGCAACTACGAGCTGGCCAACAAGAAGGGCGAACGCCAGTTGGACTACCGCTTCAAGAAGGGAACCTCAGCCGTCCTGCACACCTCAGTCAAGGATCTGCTCATCACCGAACGCGTTCAGGTGGTGCCCATGGAGACTTCTTAAGTTGATTTCCTTTTCTACCGTTTCGTACATTTAATCTAATAGAGCTTTTGGCTGGATCTACTTGGAGTGGTTCATAATAAAGGAAGCCATGCTTCAACTCAAGTTTATGTTTTATTCGGGGTATTTTATTAGACTAGCGATACTCCTAGATGGACGATGCTTTGGTCATTAACGAACACTAGCCAGGGACCGAGAAAAATAATTAAATTACTATGTTCTAAGTTATTTTGCGAATTTAAGTATGTGTCTTTATGGTAACAAACATTTTTTTTGGTCCAATAAATATCTTTGTACTATTTGTCTAATATAATATTACATCTTCCGATTAAAGTAAATGTTAATATTAAAGGAGTTTATAAGTGAATTTCAATTATAAATTTAAAGTAGTTGACTTCACATGAAAATTAAACGTACTTAAGATTTACGGTCCCTAGCATAAACTAAAGAATAACTTTTAAAAGACATTTCTTGTTTGGGATATGTCACTTACATTAATTTAGCTAATATCACATGGTATAGAGGGTCAATTCCTAACATTTGAAGGCACTTTCCATCTCCTTAGATTAACAGATTAATTGGCACCAAGAATTCACTTGATTGAGTTAGATAATACACACTCCTTCTAGGACTAACTTAAGCTATGATTAACCTTAAAATTAACAGAAGTAGGGGGAGTATCCAAATGGTGTGGGAACCATATGATGTTGCTCCATTTGGCGTGGGTTCTAGTAGATGTGATACCGTCAAGCAGGATAGAGCTAGATTGGTTGTGATCCTAGGTGATTGGGCGTTGATCAGGGAGGATATCTTCTCTGCTTCGCGGGCGCAGGCCTCCAATTGAAGGCGCGTGGGTCTTTTGATGCTGCTGGCGGGCACCACTGCCACAAAAATACCCACTTCCATGGTGAGGAATCCAGTCAGCTGACATTCGCTGACCTGCACCAGTCCATCCAGTTGCTGGAGTACTCCATGGAGGGTCAAAAGAGTGCTGCTCTGGGCCCGCAGTCCATACATGGCGCGATCGAACTGCTTCCTGGAGTAAATGATTCTGAAGGCGCCACCAGCACACAGTGGACAACATGCTCCCGGGGGAACTATCAAGCGACAGTGCTTGGATGCGGGAGCTGGACACTGGACAGTCCGACAGCGCCTTCCCATATCGCTGGCCAGCAGACCCACCTCCCGACACCGACCCACATAATCCACCAGCACGTACTCAGATCTGGCCGCATAAATACTCTTGTAGGTCACTCCATTGATTCCACAAACTGGTGATGGTGAGGCATACCGACTCGTTTGACATGCGGACCAATAGGCGACTTGACCTTGAGGATTGGCCCTTAGCAATTCACAGGCATTCTGATGAGTGCGTCCTTGAGTGTCGCACACCTCACCCTGGTGGAAGGACGAACAGTTCGAAGCTGTGGCGTTTACTGAAATGATGGAAAAGGTATTTTAATATTAAGACAGGTATTTAAAATATGTGTTTTGTTGCCAAATATAATTTGGTTCCATAGGCAAGCAAAAATTTGAGAGTAACTCAGTCTTGATTTCAAGATCGTTTACCCTTGAGTAAGCGAAAAGAAAAATGATCAAATTGAGAACATTTTGTCCTTTAGTGTGTTATTTCAAAACAGTCTAACAATTTTTGGGACCAAATCCTTTTAAAAAATCTGACTATTTTATAAATTTTGAAAACCAAAAAGTGGTTTATATACAAGGGATTTACGTACTCCTGAAACTTACCACACACATATTGCAGACATGGCCGCTGCATGCTGGCCAGGCAGACTTTTCTACTATCCAAACACTGAGTTCCGGATGGACAACTATTCGGAGGAGCTGCTTGGCAGGCATTTCGAGCATTACAGGCTCCATAGACGTAATCCCCCTCTGGCAAATGACACTTGGCCACGCAGGCGGAGGGATAAGTATTCCCATTGGAGCCACAAACGGGAACATAGTGAGCTGGACAATTGCATGGCAGACTGGTGTAACCCGAGTCCGCGAATCCTGGCAGACGACACTGCTGTTTGGTGCACGTAATCTCGCCGGCAAAGCAACTGCAGAGATTGCACTCCAGGTAAAATGAGGATCCATGGCGGTAGCTCCTGGCACCGGGAAGGATGCAGTGGGAGTGCATATAGCTCGGCAAGGGCTGACATTGCTCCAGCCGACCCTCCAATCCACACGAGCAGACTATGTGCTCGGCCAGCGGAAGCTGACCCACTTCGGACTTCTTGTGGAGAGTGCTCTTTCCAAGTCGCACATACGAGCCGAAGGGAACAAACAATTTGGAGTCCTGTCCCAAATTGCAGCCTGGTATGCAGGAGTATCCCTGATTTCCTCCTCGCTGCAGAATGCAAACTTCACTGCCGTTGCAGGGTTTTTTGGCGCAGGGTGAGGTTATCCCTTGGGACTCCTCCGGACTGGCAGCTCCTGGCTTTAGATAGCTCTCCAGGGAAATACAGGGCAGTGGATCATCCTCGTCTTTTTCCTTTAACCTAGAACATATATCCTTTGGCCGCTGGCTCTGGAGCGTCCAGTCCAGACACTCATCCAAGAGCTCATGACAATCCTCACTGCAAATGCCATTGAAGAGACCCATTCGAGTGCAGGGCTTCAACTGGAGGGCACAGACCAGAGCCTGCCACTTTTCCGGAGCACACCTACTGGTGTTCTTGATGAAGAGCTCCTGGCCCAGGACTCTCACGGTTCCCCGCTGCTGCAGGAGCTGCAAATCTTCACGGGCAGCTGCATCATGCTCTGCCGTACAGCTGCGAAAGAGTTCCGTGGGTCGATTGTTGAAGTTGGAGCAAAAACTCAGACCCTGACAGCCCAGTTCACAGGGTGCATCCACACTTTCTATACACCGTCGTAATTCCCTTTCCCCCGGCTGATCCATACACTCGTTTTCGAAACTGGATCTCGCATCCCACCAATTGCTGGTAAAGATCTGGTTGCACAGCCGTCGGCACTTGTGACTTCCGGCTTGTTCGCAGCATTGCCTTTTGGCCGCATCCATTCCCAGGTGATTGGGTTCCCCCAGGGATCCTCCTTTGCCAGACACGCGTCCTTGGGCCAGGGATCCCCCAGCTCTGCCCGTTCCTCCGGGAACATATAGTTTTCCCGTCACTGTAAGAAAACACTGCCAGAAGGGAAGTTGAGGCAAGGGAGATCCACATCCTGCTGCCTCCAAGCGCGAGAAGATCACCTCACTGCGTTCCATGAGGGTGGCGTTTTGGTGGAGGAGGTTTCGGCAGGTATGACGACAATGCTCCTTGTTGCTGTACTCACAGCAGGGGAGATCTGTGTAGTATGTTAGGTAATTTAATTATTATTAGTATATTTTTGAGATTCTATCCACTTACACTGCTCGGCATTGGCCAGTGGAGTCATGTCCGTGTGATTGTTGATGCACTGAATTACATCCGCATTGCGGTCCCCACAGGACCCATTAATGTCCACATGATCATGGTTATCATTCGCTGGCTCGAATACGGCGCGA